AGATGTCATCGAAAAATACCTTAGCTGTCATAGTAACGTAACTCACTGGCTTATTGACTTGTGAAAAGCAAAATAAAATTGTGGTTTTAGGTAATTTTAGGTGTTTTCTTTATTAAATTATGTCGGAAAGAAGTTCATTACGATGGAACATGTTATCAGCATGTGGGCAGACCTCCCACTAGGTGGACAGACGATCTGGTGAAGGTCGCGGGAAGAACCTGGATGCGGGCACATTGTGGAGATCCTTGGGGGAGGGAGAGGATGCTGCGTTTCCCAGAGATATGCGAGGGAATTGTGTCGTGCGAAGATGTCTGTCGGTGAGAGGCGTTTAATAAGTTCCTGTTTAAGTTTACCATACTTATTCTCAGCCGGGGGGTCAGTTATGATGTCTCGTACTTCAATTGCAAACTGACGATCAAGTTGAGAAACGAGGTAATAAAATTTCGTTTGATCGCTGCTAATACCAGACACGGCGAACTGCGCTTCTAGTTGCGCAAACCATAACGCAGGCTCTTCGGGCCAGAAGGGCGGTATTCGAATTCCGACTTTAAAAACTTCTTCCGTAGAGTCGTTCATTTTGTAAAATAAAAATTATAAAAAATATTCACCGCTTGCAGCAAGCCCCAGCCTTATATAGCAACGTAGTAGATCGTGACGACGAGAAGTAAGCAGGTAAGTCTTCCACGTTCTCAGCAGATTGAAACGTTTTTCTTGCGTCTTCTTGTATACGGGGTCACCAATATGTGGGAGACGAATCGAACGCCTCCTCACATTACTTTAGCAGAAGCAGAATTTAGTAAAATCATAAGAGGCTTTGAATAAACAAATATATTTACAATTGACTATTTACAAAAACATAAAAGAAATAAAATTAACAATCCGAATAAAATCAAAAGAGCAAATCGCAGTGAAGTGTCAAAGTGACAACATAAAATCTTCTTTTTTCATTGCCGGCCAGGAGCGCGCGGCACGGAGCGCCGCGGGCGGACCAATGAGTCCGGATTGTGGCGTACATAGAACGCCACAGATACACCCATTAAATAACGATAAAAACCTTTGAAAAAGTAGAGATTAATATTGTATTGGTTCCTTGAATTTACCAATAATAATCAATGGGGAGAAAAAGTATGTTATGTATTTAAGTACTTTTACCGTTTTCTAGTACATTAGAAAAGGACCAGATAGAGTTGAAATGCTAAAGACAATAAAGTTCTCGTGTCATCTTCATCATTTCAACCATATATCTAGAACGTTAACTTCTCCCCCAATGAACGGTTGATAGCGGCCTGCATCCAGCGCCTTCCTGCAACCTTTATGAGGTCGTCTGTCCACCTTGTGGGTTCTACGCTGCGCTTATTAATTACTAATTGTATGCCCCGAAACAAAATAAGATCGCAATTTCTCGCCTAATCCCGAACATCAAGGGGCAATCAGTCCCAAAAACCAACCCGCATTGGCAACATCGGTTGGATTGGAATCACAAATGCGTCTGTGAGTAAGTTATAAATGATGAGTGTTCCTGGGCACAACAAGCTTTATATTTTGGTGTAAAATATTCTTTATTACAACGAGATAAGACGCACTGTGTTTGGCTTGATGTGCTGTCGTCATCTTTGATTTATTGTTTAGGAGTATTTGGACAGGATTAAGAGGAAAATTCAGAGGGAAAACTTGTAGGAAAAAAGTAAATTCGTTTTGGGGGAAAGTTTCTAATTGGCTTACATCTAGTTTAGTGCGACTTTGATTGGTTTTACAGAAGAAGCGCCTAAGACCATAGCCTCCGACGTTTTTCATCCATTAACGAATACTTTAGTAAAATTATAGTCTCCTACCTATGAAGTCATTGTTTTTTATAAAATAACACTGGTCAACACATGTTTTTTTTCCTTAAATTTTTTTTCTGTTATTGGGTATTTCTATGGCCCTGATTATGAAAAAAATACTGGGAGATCGTCAACAGCTTTACTTTTTAAAATATAGAGTTTTATTATTTTGACAAAAAAATAAGAAAAATTATACATTGTGCTAATAAAATTTCTATTGAACACTAGCAAATGATCTTTTATATGATTTCCTTGAATAAGCAAGTTTGAGTAGATCTCGTTGCAAACTCCAGCAATGGTCTGCCATTCATATATGAGCACCACACCCCTATAACCTTNTTTTCAGGTTCGATTTGCCATAGGTGCATACTGCATATATTTTATGAGAGAACTAGCTTTTGCCCGCGGCTTCACCCGCGTGAAATTTAGTTTGTCACAGATCGCCATAAATGATAGCCTATATGTTAATCTGGGTTATAAACAATAATACTGCAAAGTTTCGTCAAAATCCGTTCAGTAGTTTTTGCGTGAAAGAGTAACAACATCCACACATACTTACGCATTTATAATATTGAGTAAGATCGTTTTTGACAACTCGTAAAAAGTTGAAAAAAATGTTTGGTTACTGCTTACACAATAAAGTAACTATCCAACACTTTGAATATGAGGAACAAAATGTTGTGTAAATGAAACAAACAATTTTTGGTTTGATTATAGTTAACACTTAGTTCGCCAGTCACTTTTTTGTGTAAGCAAGCAGTAACAATTTTTTTTTCAGTTTGTGACTTGAGTAACTCCAATGATAAGAGCAAGACGTATGTGAAAGTTGACGCATTACAGTTTTAAAAGATATAAGGGCCAAGAAACTTAGATCAAAGGCTGAATAAAAAGGTTAGGATATCAGATTGATGTCAAAGCTTTCCAGAGACCGGATGTCCTGTATCACCGCTCCGGATGTGAGTTGTGAGGAAAATAGGATAAAGGTCACCGGTAGGACAATTAATTTGATAGTCGGACTCGGACGGTACGTTGAAGGCAGGGCCGGATCTACAGTGTTGCTACCTCGGATTTTATTAAAGCGCTTAGATCAAAAGCAAAATTCCACTATTGATGCCGTAAGTACGTTAACCAAATATCGATGATTGGAAAAAAAAGTATTTATTACAAATTAAAAATTCCAACGACTTTCATAGGTCTTATATTCGGAGAAAATGTACAAACAATGTTTTATAAGCATAGAATACTATAAATTCCGGAACGTTGGCGGGTTTCCCTCTCAAAAATGTGTTTCATTCTATACTGAAAAAGCAAAAAACCATACTGAAAAACCGCTAAAAACCATTCTAAAAAACCAATGAAAACATACCACCAAGAGCCTTGAAAAATTTCATGCCATTTCTGATGGTAAAACCACCAAGGTGGCAACACTGCGGATCTACCATATGGCTTTTTGGGCTTCAGCTTGGGCCCCGTGGATTCAAGCTAAGTCAAGTAAAAAATAGACTAGAATGCGAAAGAGTATAATAGGTGGTCCTCTAAGTAGTATTAGCTCAGGGCCCCCTAAACTCACGGTCCGGCCCTGGTTGAAGGTGTATCTTGTTATAAGGAACGACGAGTAGGTAAGCGATTAATTAACGACTATTTCTCGCTAGATCGAGTAAAGATGAAGATCTCGTGTAGGAATAAAAGAAATGATATCTATCTACTAGGTTGTCGCAATGAGAAGAGTTGACCATTTTTTTATCGTTAAGCGTTACTCACTGTGTCTGTACTCTTGCCATTCTACTGTGTACGTCACCGAATCACCCATCGCACTTGCCAATAGTCTAGTGACGTAACTATCGGAACTTAACTAAAACGTTGTTAATACACAGAACCTGTGACAGAACGGACATATGGGGCATTTCACGCGAAGCGGACAGCGAAAATCAAGTCAGGTTTTGGATTTTGTTCATATTTGGATTAAATGTACTGCTATTTGACCTGAATGGATGTGCATCATTATAATTTTTTTATGAAGCTTAGTTTATTTTTTATGAGCGTTCAAAAAATTGGAAAATTTTTAAGAACAGATTTTTCAGAATCTATTACTGCTATTATTACATTTGATTAAAAATAAACTAACTATTGGACTTTTGAGAATAAATAACTGTGTTTCTTACTATTTACTACAAATTTAAAATTTCTTTTTTGTTCACATAGAAAACCGGAAGTAAAGTTTTAAAATCGAATCTTACAAAACTTCGGGATTTTTTAAATTTTAAATTTTTATTTTAAAATATATCTAGTAGTCTATAAATAACGTGTGTAAAGTTGTAGAATGGAGTCTGTATTGTAAAGTCAAAAGATTAACAAGATTTTATGTTACTGTAAGAGAAACAATCGGTTTTGTGAGAGCTTTTATAATATTATATGCTCACAGGTAAAATTAACTATTTAGGTAGTTGTGTTAACTAATTTTCCTGACATTTAATACGTGATGAGTTTTCGGCTAAAATTAATTAGCCGAGAAAATTTTGTGAGCATTTCAAGCGGTTCACGGATTCGTGTTAAATGCAGATGATATTTTGATTGTTACAATATTAAATTCATTGGAATTAATTTCGAACGAGCAAATGATTTGTAATTTCATAATACATTTTGCTTTTGTTCTATAATAGTGATTGTTTAACGAGATTATTAATGCGCATTTGAATACGTTAATGATAAGCTGGTTTATGAAATTTGATGGATATTTTGACAAGCAAAGCTCACAGCTAAATCTGTATTAGTTCTAATAAATAAAACTGAGTACTAGGTACTCAGTTTTATGTATTAATTTAGAATTAGCATAAAAATGTAGCATTTTTTCACCACTTTTTGCCAGTGTCCGCGCTAAACCAATCAGCGGTGCTCGAAAACCGATTCAGTAATCAGCTTCGTTTCAAGGGTTATGAATAAAAACTGCGTAGTTATTTTAGGTTCGCAAACATTTACACACACCTACAATTTTACACACATTTTGGTCAGTTCCCGATAATTCGATGACCACCGTGGAACCGAATTTAATAATCTTCAGCGTGCAGTCGCGCGGCTTTTGGATAAATTCATTTCAGCGTGTGTACAGCATTCGATGTCGATTGTACGTAAGCTTTCAGTGGGATTATTGTGCGGGCGAATTAACACATGAATAAACTGACAGCACGTGTCGGTGAACCACCTCTGTTATTTTGGCATTTTTATTTGTTGTTTTGGCTTAATTTGCCCTCATCACCGTTTGGAAGGTTAAAGTGTGTGGCGGGTCTGCCTTGCGCATGTAGGCAGACTCCCAGGTCCTGTCTCTGGATGGTGCGTGGATTGCCTTTCTCTAAAGAAATATTTCCCGTCGAGTTGACGGTTGCTAAGGACGCCCATTTTAGCAGTACGAGTTGCCAAGGTGCCAACCAATCACAACGGGCGTCCCAACGCATGTGCGGAGAGTGCTACTATCAACGCTAGGAGACAGCCAATTACATCGGGCGTCCTAGCGCATGTGCATCAACAACCGAGCAACAACATCATTTTGTAAATAACTGTCATTTTATGTCTATTATGTCATAATGTCGTGTAGGATTACAAAATGTTTTTGTATGATTTATTAATTTAAGTAAGTACCTCTTTATTATTTAGTTTTACTTTATTTTTCATGAGTTCTTCCGTTATCCCAGGCTCCCACTCACAGCCGGAATTTTTTCGTTGCACTACATGCAACGACAATAAATTATACAAGGGCAAACGTGGTCTAAATATTCACAACACAAGATGCCACAAAAATTCATCACTCCCAGCACCCCCTCCGTCAAATCCACAAAATACTCCTCATCCCTCATTCGAATCTTTCATCACCCATCTTCACAACTCCATCCGTGTTGTAAAAAGGATTCCCAGAGGAGCAAGGATCTCTCTTGCAAAATCTCTTACTTCCGTCATTGAAAAATGTCTTTTAAATACTTCCGAGAATTGGCAAAATCTTTTCACTTTTTCATATTCACATCTTCATGTCAGTCCCTCGTCAAAATCTCTCACCCGTGCGCTCATTGAAAATTCATCCCATAACCCGAATCCTCTTCTCCTTCCGCCTTTCCCTCTTCGTTCATCTGCAAATATTTACCGAACCGTAGAGTCTAAAGTAATGGATGGTGACCTCAAAAATGCAGCTCGAATCCTTTTCTCTGATGACACCCTTGCTCCTCCAAATCAAGAAACCCTTAAGAGCCTCCAAGAAAAGCATCCTTCACGACCAATTCCTCCCTCTCCCATTTGTCTACCACCCCCCNCAAAAATCTAAGTAAAAATATTAAATGAGGGTAGATAGCTATAACTTAAAAACAAAAGCTGTTAGAGAAAAACTGTTGCCATATTTAAAAAATATGCGTCAATTTGAGATAGAAACAGAAAAAAAATCACAGGAAACAAACAATTTTATTTTTTTTGTTGACCAGTGTAATCTATACTATCTATACTAATATTATAAATGCGAAAGTAACTCTGTCTGTCTGTCTTGCTTTCACGCCTAAACCACAGAACCGATTTTGATGACATTTGGCATAGAGATAGTTTGAGTCCCGGTAAAGGTCATAGGATAGTTTTTATCCCCGTTTTTTAAACAGGGACGCGCGCGATAAAGGTTTTCTGTGACAGACAAAATTCCACACGGGCGAAGCCGCGGGCGGAAAGCTAGTATAGGTAATATTAATATAATCCAGAGTAGTTTTTTCGATTAATTCTACTGGGAGTCGATACAACATCAGCCTACACATATTTTTGTTGCGAAATAGTTCTTATTACAACTATGTAAGGCTGCCTTTAAATTGATACACGTGTACACGTACGTGTAATTGTGTGGTCGTGTAAACACAAGGAAGCTCCTAATACGGTTAATCGGTAGCTGATCCCCTTATTACAATTTAAGTAACATCCTGAATCTGTACTTAATTAGAAGCCAATTAATTATTCCGATACTAGTCGGCTTAAAATTTACCTACTTTCTTTATCCACAACGAGGAAGCTCTTGGCCTGTATCTCACCTGATGGTAAGGTACCAAGTTAGAACTTTATAGTTCTAAGTAAAATGTATAATTTTATTTACAAAAAACAGATTTTTTTTTTAAAACTAAGGCAAACTTAACTCTAAAGTAATGGATGGTGACCTCAAAAATGCAGCTCGAATCCTTTTCTCTGATGACACCCTTGCTCCTCCAAATCAAGAAACCCTTAAGAGCCTCCAAGAAAAGCATCCTTCACGTCCAATTCCTCCCTCTCCCGTTTGTCTTCCACCCCCCCTAAATTATCAACCATTACAGATTGTTGATGACAGCGACACCCTTGCTGCGATCATGTCCTTCCCCCCTGGTTCTGCTGGCGGTATCGACGGTATCACTCCTCAACACCTAAAGGATTTGGTGAGTGTTTCCGCCGCCGACGCCGGCAGAACACTTCTCTCAAACATTACGAAGCTTTGCAACCTCCTCCTTTCAGGTAAGGTAGTAGATAATTTCTCCCCTTTTCTTTACGGTGCAAGGCTCTGTGCCTTCCGCAAGAAAGATGGTGGTATCCGCCCCATCGCCATAGGATCCACCTTTCGCCGTCTTGCAGCNTGAATTGTAATTTCAGTTTAACTCAATCATCTATTTTATGTATGTATTTATTTATTATACAGGGTGTTTCTTGTAAGGTGTCAAGCCGAAGGCAGGTGATAGGTGAGGACTAGACCTATCGATTTCACCCCCATGTATGTTCTACGATTTTTCATAGTTTAGAAGTTATCGTTAATTTTGTGANCAATGTTTCCGAATTTCATACTAAATGTATGCCGCCTGCCTTACCTACCATATTAGAAGTGTTAATTTTTTAAATTTAAATTTTTAATTGAGTAATATGGGTGTCCCGTAATGTAACGTCAAGCCGGAACTGGGTGTTGAGGCAAGTTATGCTGGTTATCAGAAAAATATAAAAAAAAATCTATGTGGCATTTTGTCAAAATAATAGGCATTTAAAAAAAAAACTAAAAATTCTACTCCCGGTGACGGTCTTTTTACTCGTGTTGCCACAAATCTTCACTTTTTCCAAATTTTTTTTTACAACTACAGCAAAAATTTACCAAGTGTTATACTATTTTGGAATCCTTACTAAATGCGCCAAATTATGACGTCACTTGCCACACCCACGTAGTACATTTTTTTTTCAGTACAGTCAGTTTAAACTAGGCAAAATTTTTATTTTGAAATTTTTTTTGTGAATAATGTATTTTTTTCATCCAAGCTGGAGCAGCTGGTATTGTAATTTTGGTAACAATTTAGAGAAGCATTATTCAGGGTTAAATTTAAATTATTTACGGAAAGCATGATTTTAGGTTTAACTTGCTACAATATCATCAAGAGATACTAATTAATAAATACTAAATAAACAGATAAAGGGGACGGCATTAAGGCACTCAGAATTCTCAGAAACCATTGATTTCGTGTTTGTTTGTAACTGTATTAAATGTATGAAAGCTGGAAATATNTCTAAACTACGAAAAATCGTAGAACATACATGGGGGTGAAATCGATAGGTCTAGTCCTCACCTATCACCTGCCTTCGGCTTGACACCTTACAAGAAACACCCTGTATATTCTATAATATATTATTTATGTATGTAGTATATTTGTTTTTGTTTTTCTTTCCTGCACTAGAAGTACCGCCAAACAAATTTCTTTTCTGCTCAACCCAAAGGTAAACTGGTCGAGAATGCTTTAGTGCATTAAGTTCGCCTTATGTTCAAATTTATTTTGGCATAAAAGTTTAAATAAATAAAAAATAAGAAAGTTAGTATGTATAGATTGCTGTACCCAACCAGGTGTGCATAATACCTAAGTTACTTAGGACTAGTTTTTAAGTACAACAAATAAAATTCAGGATTTTTTCTTCTTCTTTTTTTTTTAAACATTTGCACATGTATAACTTATTATTTGCAAGTTGTCAAAAGTTGTTTAAATATGATTCGTATTGTTTCAAAAATTATTGGTAATGATTTCAGAATATCTTTATTAGACGCGAATACCAGGCCGAATGTAATGAATTAATTTTTATGAGACGTGTATGCCAGGAGGCATCATGGTGACGGATGGCCGAATGTAATGATTTTAGAATGTAAATTGTATTTTATAGGTACGATTGGATGCTTATAAATAGTTATTGTAACAACTTTAGTAGAATTTAGAAACCCATTATTAAATTAAAATACTTTATTTGATTACTTCCTGGACATTGTTGTAATTTCTAAACGCAAATACAATTTTTTTTGACATCTGTCACTTGCTGTTTCCGGTCTCTCTGTCTGTAAGGCTGTCTAGTGTCTGTAGTTCCTGCGGGTCCAATGACTGCTTAACTTTCCCCCGGGACAAACTTGACCTTCATTGGTTGGGTTTTTGTGGCGGTCAAGCTGTAGATCCTGGCTACACAGGAGTTGCAGTGGTGGGAACGAGAGGTGGGAATAGTCCCGTTTTAAGTATTTAACTTGGTTGATTATAAGATAGAGTAATAAATTGTTTTAACTATGACATGCAACTCGAAGGTTTACTTTGAACGCAATTTCGGGTTTGAATAACTCGTTCTCATTAAATTAACAAGCCCCCAGCGGATTTCGAACCAACAACAACCGCAACTTGTATTCGTCAAGTTCGAACGCCAAAGATTTATAGATTTTATATACGACTAGATGTGCCCGCGACTTCAGACGCGTGAAAATATTTTGAATAATATTTCCCGTTTTTGCAACATTTTTCTTTACTGCTCCGCCCCTATTGGCTGTGGGGTGTTGTTAATAAATAACCCAAGGCCTTCTTTGATAAATGGAATTATAAATTCCACACAAAATTTTTTATTCAAATCGGACCCGTTCCTGAGATTAGCACGTTCAAGCAAACAAACTCTTTAGCTTTCTAATATTAGTTACCTATAGGATAATAATGTCTTACAAATTTTATATTTATCTTTATTTTAGACACAGACAGATAATTTTTATTAATAAACTTGGCCTATAATAAGTACCTACTGGCAAAAACTACAGTTTTCCCTTCTTTGTTTCGCTCCGCAATGCTGCGATCCCGATTATTATGTAAATTGAAACATAGGAAGGCTTTCTTAGCGAACTACATAATGTATGAACGTAACATTTCATTCTGTTTGAATTTCCTCATAAAAACAAAAACATATGAGCTAAATATACGCGGAATTTGTTATCAAGTTCAACAGACTGATAGTAGGTTAGAATTAAGCTATAAAGTAGACTCAGAATTTTCAGACACAGAATTCAGACTAGAGCCTCATCATTATTTCAGCCTCAGGACGTCGACTGATGAACATAGGCCTCCCCCAATGATTTCTACATCGCCCGGTTGGTAGCGGCCTGCATCCAGCACCTTTATGAGGTCGTTGGTCCACCTTGTGCGTTTTCTGGTACGTAGCTTCTACTCCAGAACCTTGCTGCCCCATCGGTCGTCAGTTTCATTGAGACTAGAGTCTAGGATGACAATAAATGACAGTAATTATCATCAAGTCATTAATTAATTAGTGTCCATTGAAGGAGCACGACCTTTTAATTTACCTACCAGAAGCAAACGGAGAATTTGGCGTACACTCCTCACTCCTCACGCTGGCCAGGTAAAAAATAAATAAAAATAGACGATAAAAAAAAGTATCAAATATACCTTACCTACCTCTAATAAAGAGATTACTAGTATTGGGATTATCATCTACACTAATATTATGAAGAGAAAATATTTTTTGATTGTTTGAATTGAACAGGCTACTGAATCTACTGGACCGATTTGGCTCATTCTGGCCCATTTATTGTCCTGAAGCAGGGGTGGGGTTAATACTGGGACGTAGAAAAGTGCTTTTTAAAAGCCTACTTATATGAATAAATGAGTTTTTATGAAAAAATAAATTATTTCACCATTAGAAATCCTATTACTACATAACATAGGCGGTACAAAGTGTTGTAATTTCTAAACGCAAATACAATTTTTTTTTTTGACATCTGTCACTTGCTGTTTCCGGTCTCTCTGTCTGTAAGGCTGTCTAGTGTCTGTAGTTCCTGTGTAAATCTATTAAAATCTCTGTTATTCTTTTATCATTTTTCAATTAACACCTATAACCCATCAGGTTATGGGCCCAGGATGTCGCTATAATTCGTATTTCCAAGAAATAGTACAATTGACAAACAAACTAACTTATTACAATACGGTGAGATTTTGTCAGCATCATGTCTTCTGCTTCTCCAAATGTGGTCATCGAGAAACTCAAGGGCATTGACAACTACAGTTCATGGAAATTCATGATGAAAATGGTTTTAATTCAGGACGACCTTTGGGATTGTGTGGAAAACGAGGAAAGTGATGGGAAGAAGCAACAAAAGGCTTTGGCTCGTATTGCACTAGCCGTTCAACCATCAGCTATTCCACACATTCGAAACGCTAAGACAGCACACGAGGCCTGGAGCAGCCTCGAGAAGGCCTATGAAGATCGAGGTTTGTGCCGGAGGCTAGGGCTCCTCCGAACCTTATTTTCGACTAAATTGGACGAGAGCGACAGTATGGAGTGTTATATCAACAAAATTACTGAGTTGGCACAACAGCTAAGCGAAATTGGATCACCCCTGGAAGATGACTTCGTGGCTGTTATCATGCTTAGCGGCCTGACATCAGACTTCGAGCCACTCATCATGGCAATGGAGAACTCGAATGTAAAACTGTCCAGTGAAATTGTGAAAGGAAAATTACTCCAAGAAAATATTAGAAGAACCGATAAAAGTGAAGCTGCATCTGCCCTGCTTGCTAGAAAACAACCAAGATGCTATAGATGCAAGAAAGTAGGACATTTCATCAAAGATTGTCCTCAGTCATCATACAATAAGACTATGAAGACCAATCCAGATGCATCAAAGGCGCTATTGATGGCGCTGTCAGCAAACATCAAACACGGCCAGTGGTATGTCGATAGTGGTGCAACGGGACATATGTGCGGAGATAAAAGTGTGCTAAGTGATTTGAGTGATGAAAAGTCAATTGAAGTTAATGTAGCAAATGGTGATAAATTATACACAGCTGGTAAAGGTTTTGCAAAAGTGCACTTGAAAAATGGTGATGTAAGGACAATAAGTGACGTATTTTATGTACCAAATTTAACAGTTAACTTACTGTCAGTCAGTGCCATGGTTAATAAAGGATTTAAAGTAGTGTTTAGTTCTGGCATGTGTAAAATTTATGATAGTGGTATAATAGTTGCTACAGCCACTCAACATGATGGCATTTATCAACTTGACACAATTGAACCACCTAATCTTGATTGTAACCTTGCCACAAAATGCGAATCTTCTCTCGTTCCAACAGATTTAGGTAATACTGACAAGATATATTGTGAAAAAGAGCCAGTTTCAAGCAGTGCAGATTCATCAGCAACTGCAATGACAGCTGCTACTGAGAAGAAAGAAGTTTCGCAGCAGGTTTGGCATCGACGACTTGCACACCTCAATCATCGCAGCATGGAACTTATGAGAAAAGGTATGGTAATGGGCATTTCATTTGATAATAGTACCATAGAAAAGTGTGTATCGTGT